AGCAACAAGGGAAGTAGCCGATTCTGGTTCATGGTTCAAGTAACCTTGTGAATGGCATTTCCCCATTTAGTTGTAACATGACGATACCTAAACAGCACCAACATATTAATTAATTTTAGGTGTTCTATTTAACCACTACAAAATCTCACCTTCAACTTTACACCAATATTAAATCTAACGGTTCTCATATCACAGTTGACGCTCAGATAAATTTGATCCTGACTCTGCACTCTCACTGCGAGGTATTTGTTGAGTGCAATGCAGATCGGCTGAAACGGCGGTGCATGTACATGGGTTACTAAATCCCGCCAGTTCCATCGCTTTTTTTTGGCGCCATTACTATTGCAGAATATGCCACCATATTCGTTCATATTTAATCTGCATATAAAAAAAAGATCAATAACAAGATTAAATACATGTAGAATTCTTGTCGATAATAATCAGCAAATAGAGTTTTTTTTGTATCATTGTATAAACATTTTTTGATCGATATTGTATGTCTCCTGGACTCGTTCTTTCTTTTCCTATCTGTGTGTGTCATTCAATATTAATGTATAATCATAATCACAAACAATATAAAACTAAGGATTAATTAGTTATCTTCAATATGGTTAACAAACCATTCTTTGCAATTTACTGATCATTGGTACATCTCAAGTGCAAAAGTCTTTATTTTTCCAAGAGACATAATTTTTGTCATAAAGTTTTGTAGTGGTAAAATATTCACTATTCAATATAAAATATTTAGGTAGGGAATCACAGTGACATCAATGAAATTTGAGTCAACGTGGATGCCTTTGATTTCAAACCATCACATGAGCATTTCTGACTCCCGAAATCCTGATCAGATGTCATTGTACTATTTGCATAATAACTCACTTCAGTAAAGGGGCGTCTATCACAGATGTACGAGAAACGTATAAAGTCATTTGTAACTGCAAAATTTCAAAGTACAAATCCCTATACTAGTTTAGTTCACATCTGTTTATTTCCACTTTGTACATTGCATGTGCAATGTTTTACTTTCATTCATGTTTCTTTTTTTTGGTGTTTTGCGTAGTTTCTTATCGCCATACAAAATCAACTTTTTCCTCTCCACAAAATCAAACAACTTGCATTTCTCATGCATCTGTTTTGATGACTGGTGGCCCCTAAATATATTTCCAATAAAAAGCTACAATGACTGTAGTCAGTCTTGACAGTCTGTTTGATGGTACCTACCTAATAATACCACTATTATAATAACACGTTCCTCTGCCTTTGGAATCAAATAATGCTAACATTGAAGCATTATTTGGCATATCCTCCAAAACAACATAAGTATACTGGCCTTGTTTGACAGAACTTATCACTATAGCAATATTACCAGATGGGTAACTGAGAGGTGACTAGTTAAGGAAATATAGTTCAGATTTCAGGAACCTAAAGATTGTGGCAGATCTGTTCTGCCATGGAAGTGAAAATTCAACATGTTTAATGTCTTAGAAAGCCTGAAATGCCTAGAGGGCAAGGTTCAATACAATTTCACACACACAATTTTTTTTTTAGGGCAAAAACATTTTTCACAAATTTTGATGAACCAAATCATGCAAGCATATTCGTTTGTGTTAGGCAAAATGTTTGATTCCAGTTTATAAGAAAATGAAATTTAACTGCAAAGGTGATGTAAGCTGTTGCCATGGAGATATTATCTGTCGCTATAGTGATGCAAGTTGATGACATGACAGACTTTATACATTGAGTGAGTCAGTAGGTATTTAAAAGGATACAACACATTGCCAGTACCATCAGCAAAAATAGTGAGAAATTTACTACCATCTTCGTAATATTTCTGAATCAATGGACGCTCTTGTTTTTCACTCTGTTGAATAAAGAGAATTTTATTAATATGCAGAAAAATACAATGCATTAGAGTGTAAAAATCAAATACTGACAAACACAGAGGGAGCAATTCTGAATTGTAATACATGTACCGGAGTAGGTTCATTGTTTGTGAGGCATCATATTGTTGATGTACCTGCACAACCTGCTTCTCTTCATCAAAATGATAATATAGTGACAGTGATATGTGTGTGTTCAGCTCCAATGAGGCGTATAAGCTGCTCACTGAGGTGTATGATACCCCCAGGGAGTTTGTTCACAGATTGCTTCATACTGACCAACGATATATATAATGTAAAGATCTTAAAAGACTGTACATTCCATCATGGTGTATAATATAAATATCATGTTGTATAAATGATTCACACAGTTGAAAAGCTTTGAGCGACTAGCATGGAATATACAACTCACCCGGACACTGAAAGCTGGTGGTAAGGGTTCTGGCTCGAACACTTCTGGTAATAGCGGCTCTTCATAAAGTGGCGTTGGCGGTCGTAGTGTCCATCCCTCATCCCGACACTTTTGGGATGAGTAAGCATAATTTATGGTTTTCATCTGCCGAGCAACTGAGGAGGACAGGAATAATACAATACAGGTTAATCTCATGAGTGTTTTCTTTTTATTTGTTTTGCATATATATATATATACATAAAGGGTAAGTAAGTGAAGTTTTTTTTTTTTTAATGTCTTAATTTATTGTTATGAAAAGCTTGACTTTAACTTTCAATATTGTTAGCGAGGAAAAAACAAGAGGAATTAAATATTACTGATTAAAAGAGACATGACTAACGAGGTATGTGCAACAGTGCATGAAAAGTTAACTGATTTAATTTGTTGTCACGGCAACTAAAAGCAAATACCCAAAAGTGAACATCAGTCCCTATTCCCTCGACTTAATGCTCATTGCTTCGGTGAAAACTACAGGCATCTTAGGAGGGCAGAATAAAATGTGGCAAACAGAGGAGATAAATTAACATTTAAAATAGAATGGACTAGACCATTCATCTACAGGTATGATGGGTAGCAATGAGCACATGAGCCAGCATGTATACATACACAATGAAGAATGATCAGGGAAGATGTCAACTTTCGCTATCAACTTTTGTTGCAGTCGAGACATTGCATTTTCAGTCACTTCAAGTGAAACATCCCATTTGGAGGATAGTCTTTTCAGACTTTTGTTCATGGTCGAGACACTCGCAGTGGTGCTGCCCCTTTTATTACGGGAAGTTACCAACCCGTCTATAAGCCTCTGTCTGTCTTTTAGGCTTGGACGCCGTTTTAACACCTCATCTTTTATTTTGTCTTTGATAGATTGTCTTTTATCTCCCAGATTTTCCCTTCCACCATCACCAACAACGGACTGCCTTTTCATGTCCTGCCTCATCCCAGCTAAGAACATACCACGCATGTGTGTGTGGAGATGTGGTGGAGGGTGAAGATGGAAAAACATAAACATGCAATGATTGAGATGGAATAAAAAAAGAAACAGAAAGTCATAAACAGTGAAATGAATGCTGATAATGATGCAAACATGCAAATAATCACATCAAGTGTAGGTGTATTCATCAACAATAACAATAAAATAGGAGTCAAAATGCTGGAAACTCCTAGTGAAAAAAGGCACATGCATTATGAAATAGAGAAAAAAGAAAAATTAAAGATAATAAAATGAATGTGATATAATTAGCGACACAATTTTTATAAATCATTGACATGTATTGTTTCACACTTGGTGTTCTCAATGAATAGAAATGAGATAATAGATATTAATTATGCGGCACGAAATGCATGTCCCAGCATGTATAGCAAAGCATAGAAAAATTAGTATATTGGACATTCATGGTGAGATTTGAAATATGATGTAATGATGAGTGCAGTAAATGATATTTGATCCAAATGTGATTTCTAAGAAAGACCAGCAGCATATGATTGGTAACAATTCCACATGGCCAATGAGAAATTACTTTCAACATGTCAGGAACACAAGCAAATTGCTTTTTTTTTTGGTCTAAACATAGAAAGTATAACTGAGGTATCATGTTTAGCGGAGATATCGAAGATACCATACCGCATTCCCTTTTAACTAATGATATATGCTTTCTCATTAATTTCGCATTGATTCTACCGTAGAAGACATTTTTAGTTAAAAGTTTGACAATGAAATGCACTGAACATAGAGTTGTACAAATGTGATCGATTACCAGGAGAAGGAAATTATAATTTTTGATTTGAGACAAAAAAATGTTCTTGTTTTATTCATTTATGAGCTTAAAATATAAAATACATTAATTTATGCTCAAAATATGAATAACTATCTGTTTAAACGAAACATAATTTGTGTTGGACACATTCAGTGAAATAATTCATTAAGGAGAAGCATTCACTGTCCACAGTTTATGGTTTTTTATTTATTATATTTTTTAGATTATATATACACTGCAAAAAAACAGTTTTGTGATTTAGGATACAATTAAGAAGACCA